CACTTATCTATTCATAAACTCCTTCCGCAATCCAACCATTGTAGACTGTCAAATTGAAGCTCGCATTCTTAAAAGATGATTTTCAGTCGAAGAGGGCTAAAGGGGTATATAGGTTTAACTGTATAACAATTCATGTATGCATGGCTACTATAAGAAAACTGCTAAAAAAGGCTGTAAATCAGATGTAGTGGATATTATTTATTCTTCTAAATTCAGAAAAATTGTCGATAAGTTAAAAAGTATTCTAAACTTTAAAAAAAAATAAAAAATTTCGGACACAGTTCGGATAATCAGCGCTCTACTGTATTTACAAATTGCATTAACTCCCACCTAAACATTCAGCTTACACAAAAACAAGAAATTAATGTCGCGAAAAACACATTCCTAAAATTAAATTCGAATAACCTAAACTCCACTCGGTTTTCGCAAAAAAAAAAAACTATCATTACATCATCATCATCCCTTTTGCTGATCACCACCTGCTACTTTCTGTTTCTACCTTCAAATTGAAACCAGATTATCATCAGTTAATGCCCAATTTGGCGCTAAAAAATTTCAAAAACCTGTGGGTACTGATAATGAAGCTTTACTAAATCATACTTGTTTTTCATTTATGCAATGATTAACTTTTTCTAAAGTCTTATAATTACGATCTGATATTTCACAGAATATAGCATGCTTAACTACTAAATAAAATTGTATTGACTAGTGCTCACTTTTAAAAGTAATTAGAGTGCTTAACATCAATTTCAAGAACACAATATATCTTTCCTAAGAAGCAAAACAATGAATTTTTACAGATGGTTCTCAAAAAATTAGATTATTTACAATCACATTATAAAGTAAAATTATTAAAATATAGCAGAATTAAAATACATTTATTAGTAATGTTATTTATGTAAAATATTTCACAAAATGTTTCATAGTATGGTTACAGAATACTTTATAACATATGTGAAATGTTTATCTTAATTTAAGAATAGCAGTTCTCAGGATTATAATATAGCACTGTTAGAATTAAAATATAGATCCATTTACTCATATTGTTATTTGTATGAAACACTTCTTTCAAATACAAGGGCATTTCAGTTATTCATATTTTTACTACAAATAGACTGTACTAAGAATATATATATATATATATAAACTTTTTTTTATACATCTCCAAACTGTATCATCCTCTAAACTTTTCCCCCCATTTCTCAGGGATTTATTTTTCTAATATAAACGTAGTTTCATTTTCCTCAAAATTTACCTAATCTCTTCTTACATCTATTCAGCTACAATTGTTTCTAGATTAAAATATAAAAAAATTAGCTTTTGATAAATTGCCCAATATGGATTGTTTTTGGAAATGTTAGTTTTTAACAATTTAACCTATTTTTAAAACTAGTTTACTGCATAGGCTACTTTTTAAATATTGAAACTGTTTTTAAAACTAGTTCAGGCAGTAGAATTTTATAATTTTTTTTTAATACTGGGAATGGAATTTTAATTAATGTTATAACTTTGCTAAAAAATTTTGCATGTCTTGTTAATAGCTGTATTTTCATAATATGATTAAAAACTAATTTGTTTTAGGAATCAGAGGCTCCAATTTATATGAACCTCCCTTTGCAATTTGGTAAATTACCACCTGTACCCAAAAATCACGATAAACCTGTAAGAAAACTTAGCAATGATTGGTTTGAATATGTCGAAGAAGATAGTGGACGTAAATATTACTATCATTCCTCTACGCGAAAGGTAACCTGGAAACCACCGCGGCGTCATGAAAACATGCAGGTAATCCACACATTTATTTCAAAAGTTAAAATAACATTTCGCTTAAATAAGTTAATCCTTAACGGACTAATGCTGCTATATAAGCGGCAGTATGGCAATTTTTTTAGTGTGTTCAATGCCTCAAAGATAGCAACAAAATTGTTATTTTTATCACATTTATTGTAGTTATAATTTATATATCTATCATTGAAGCGTTCAATGTTAAAAGAGGGTGTGTAACTTTTTTATGAAAATAAGCTTTTAGTTGGTTCTGGAATATCAATCACCGATTATCAAATGCCGAGTAATTTTCTAGACTGCCTAAAGAAGAGAATCCAACAATTTGGAAGCAATTAAAACAATCTTTTCATATTTGACACAGTATTTTATTTATTTATTTTTTGGTTTCTCTCGAAAGTTCAGATTTGTAACATTCCCTTTTCAACATTACTTCAATTAAACATGCGATTATAATTATTAATATTGTGAGTATTATAATTATAACTGGTGGGAACAAAACTTAAAATATGTTCGGACGATCACTTTTTAACTTCTACAGCATCCAAATAAATGAAATATCAATTGTATGTTTCAATTCTAGCTTTTCATACCTTATTTCTTTGGAAGAATGGAAAAGAGAATATCCTGTTAAAAATATTTAAAAAAAATAATAACACTCTCATAAATTTCTCTTCATAATTCGCCCTTTTTTTTTCTTATGAAACTGTACATTATTACTAATGCTTTTAATGTCTTTTCTCTAAGTTATTAAATATTGTGGTACATGTAAATGTGAACGGGCTGTTATTCCTTGAAATAAAAAAAATTGTGAAACGACTTACTCATCATTTTTTTATATCAGGACAGTTAAACCTATGTAGCTGTTGATCTGAAAAATGTAACCATTCTTTTTGCTACCAAATCAACTATTTTTACATAACTGTATCAGTTCACAATGATAGTATTGCAAGGGCAAATACCTCATATAAAGAAAATTTGCTAAATCGTATTTTTTATAAAATAGATTTATCACTAAAAATATTATTTATTCTACCAAATCAAAAAAGATATGAGTTTTAAATATTCTTTGATTTTAAAAAAAGGAAATTTGTATGAAAAATATTAGTTCTGCCTTACATGTTTATTGGTTTATTTTTTGTTTCTGTATAAACATAAATTAGAAAATAAGTGAGACATAACAAAAGGAATTTTCTCTTTCACCATAGCTAATTTTTTCAATTTTTTTCCAGAAGTAAAAGTGTAATTAATTTTATATTTATCAAATATTTTGCGCTGAACAAACTTAATTTTAGAAACCAGATGTTTTTAAGTTGGTATTTATATTACACTCTTAAGAACTGGAAATTAGCATACCAAAAAGTAGTTATCAAAAAATACATATATATTTATATTGACCAAAAAGCATTTTAACTTTTGATTGGCTCAATCAAAAGTTGAAATGTTTTTAGGTCAATTTAGCATTGCACACTCTTTTAAAAAGTTAATTTAATCTGTTTACACTTCTGAAAAAGATGCTGGTTTTTTTGTGTGCTGACTATGACTAGAGCAGAACTGTTTGTAATGCTTTCGCCCTAATTTACGATTGGAAATCTCCAATCAAAATGCTTTTGTAGCAGATTATGTGAACAGATATAGTTCATTCATATTATTGTATTCATTAATGTTCTATTGGAATGATATAGCCTCATAACAAATTACTCTATTTTAAATCATTGGTTTTCTTGAAGTAAGTTATAAATGATATTTTGAATATCAGTCGTATGTTTATAACTTAGCGAATTAGTAAGCCAAAGCAATCTATCATCTGGAATCAAAACACACCCTCAAGTTATATTGCAATTTTTAGGAAATTAATATTTCAAATAATTACCCATGCATTCATTTTACTATTATGAATTTCTTCTCTAATGATTTGTATTTCCCAATTGCAGTCTCCATCCTCCAACAGTGAATCTAATAGTCCAAAATCTAACAATAGTTCTATCAAAGTTGTTCCCGAACCACCACCTAAACAGCTAAAACCCAAGCTAAAAAAGTTGGTTCATAGTAGCAATGAAAGTTTAGAATCTCAATCATCGCCAACTATGTTTACCATTTTACCACCTGGATGGAGCCAAATGACTGATTCAGAAAATGGCACTTGTTATTATTTTAATGAAGCTTCCAAAAAAAAGGTACCAAAAGATGTTTTTTTATCTTTAATACAATATAACTTCTAATATCCAAGCATTTTTTTTTTTAAATTCATGACAATAAAAAATCAATTAAACTAATTTCCAATTAGAGGAAAATTGAAAAAATTCAAATGTCATAATAATGACTTATTAAAAAGAGTTGCTTTTAAAAGTCATTTGTAAATTAATAGCAAAAACTGCTAATGTAAATTTAGGATTAAATGGAGCTGGTCAAAAAAGGATTACTTAAATTTGTGTTTTGTCTTCTTCTTCCTTATCCCCAAAATTAGCAGGGCTAAACTATGTCCATGAAATTCATCACCCGGAGGAAGTCGGCCACCATAAGTGTGTTATTAAGAATGTCCCTTTTGTCCAGACCTAGACAGTCCAGTATATGTTGGGGGGAAGCCTGCATGTTGTGGCACCTGGGGCAGTTAGGGTAGATTTTAATACTACCCTCAAAAGAAAGGGACTTAAGGTGGCCGCTGATAAGCCTGGTAAGTGCAGTCTGGACCTTGCGGTTGCACCGAATGTTGAGTGCACCTCCTGGACTGGTGCTCTGGTACCAGTGATGTTTGGGGGGTACGAGCCAGGAAGCGAGGTCTTCTTGTGTTTTGTAATAATATCTTATTGAGAATATCAGAATTTTAAAAACTATCTGGAAATCCAGTGTAATAACTGTCAAAAAAGCAATCAACTGGACTAAAATTATTATTTTATGGTCCCAAATTGAGCACATAAGAAAGAGACTGCTTAACAGAACAATTGAAAATATGCCCATCATAATGTATTAAAATATCAAGATTTTAAAAAATAATCTTGGAATTTTTAGAATAATTGCACAAAAAAAGGGGAGAAAAGCCACCTGGATTTACAATGGAATCAAACACATTTATTTAATATTTATGGCCCATAACATTGTTATCTCTGTTCGTTTAAGTTAGATAACTAAAATCCAGAAAGTTTTAAAATTCCAAACCTTTCAGAAGTCCAAATTTTCAAAGTTATACTGTATATAAACTAGTAAAATTAGACCTTTTTTTTTAAAAAAAGAAAGCTTTGCTGTTGATACCTCATAAATGATACCTGAAAACACCCCTACTCTCCTTTGTGTGCTTCTCCCTTTTTTGAGAGAATTGACATAGATTTGAGGGAGAGAATTAAATTTCTTCAACACAAGCATATGAGGCATTATTTATTGTTTATGCTCTGAATGAAATAAGACCATTCACGAGACGATCATACCGATAGTTTAGAAGTTATAAGGGTTTTATGTATAAGAATGTACAATTCTATACCCGTGCTTGTTTATGCATCTGATATTGCTATCTAAGCACATGAGGCATTGCTTTCTATGTGTTTTTCATACTGAATTATTTTATACTGAAAGATTTTTTATAAGTATAGTTTACTAGACTCTATGCACAAAACTGTGCTAATACAATTCACATTCACGCAATCTAAGTGTCATGCATCACGATTCGTATTCAATATCAAAATTAGAAGGGTCTATCTAATCCAATGTCAAGATTTTTTCGTATTTCTAAAATTCAATATCGCGATGATTCAACTTCGTGTGATTTTAAAATCCAATATCGCTATTCTTAAGAGCTAAGTTTTTTCTCAAAGTAGTTAAATGTGTTGTTGACATATGCCTGTTTAGGCAGAGGGGGTGCAATTGTTATTGTTTTCCAGTGGCGCCATCTATGGCCAAGAATTAAATAGTTAAATTAGGGTGTGATATACTTCCTTGGTAGGTAATTTAATTTTAAATCTTAGTTCAAAAAATTATGTTAAACCTGATACATGTATGGTATATACAAGAAGGGGAGGGCAATCAATATCGAAAACAAGAAAACAAATATTTATTTAAACAAAACAACAAGTTCCATATTATTAGGGTGGAACCCTTCAAATTATAAAGTTATACATTAGAAGACAATTAATTCAAGCCAATGCTTACTGCTTGGTGGTTCAATGTAGACTGATTATCAACTCCTCTAGTGGGGAGATTTAGAATTAATCAAACTTACATCTACATTTCTTAACACTCCCCACCTGATAATTTTAAAGTAAAGAAATTATCACAAAACAATAGCAAAATTCTACTAATTCTACATTTCACATTATTTAGACACTTAATATCTTAAAACTAAAAATATGAAAATAAACACTAATCAATTATAAGACAGTAAAATATTATTTGAAGTATCAAATTTAAGGGAATAGTAAATTATTAAAATATCATTTGAATGTTAATTATCTTTTTAAGAGGTTCTTTAATGCTTCTCATCAACCGTTCATAAAATCCTCCCCACCATGGGGCAAGCTCAACAATAAATTCCAATGCAATGCCTTCAGAGGAAATGAAATTTTGAAATTCTCCTCTAATAATAGAAAAGAAGTACCTTATATCTCTTGAAGCAGCTTTAAAAGTTGCTGCGTTATCAGAATAAATAGTTTTACAGTTATTTCTTCTTGACATGAAGCGGCGTAAAGCTAAGATAAATTTATTCGTAGACAAATCGGAAATCAGTTCTAAATGTACAGCACGTGTGACTGCACAAGTAAACACAGTAATATAAGATTTCAAAACTTCATCTTTATGTTTTACATAAAAACGCCCAGTAAAATCAATTCCAACCACTGAGAAAGGTGGAGATTGTGAAATTCTATCTTTAGACAGTTCTCCAGTACGCTGATTGGCTGGTTTCGCAAAGTGTTTTCTGCAAATCACGCATCTTCCAATTATTCTTTTCACAAGTTGTCTGGCTTGTGGAATCCAATAACTTTTTCTAATCTGCGAAAAAGTGACATTAACTCCACTATGAAGCAATTTTTTATGTTTTTCAGTGATCAAAAGCTCGGAAAATTTCAAATTCTTGGGTAGCAGTATAGGATTAACTGCTTCAGGATCCACTTCAGATTGAAACAGTCTACTGCAAATTCTTAATATCTGTTTTTCATCTAGGTATGGACGTAGACAAAATATGCTGGAGTTATTTTTTATATCTTCATTCTTCATCAAGGTTTTAATTTCTTCTTGATAAATGTTATTTTGCGCTTCCTTTATTAAAATAACTTTGGCTTCTTT